ATGGCTGCCCCTGCTGCTTAGCCAGAGGCCTTAGCCTAAGAACAGGGTAGGGTGACCAGACGGCAAATGTGAAAAATCGGGACGGGGGTGGGGGGTAATAGGAGTCTATATAAGACAAAGACCCAAAAATTGGGACTGCCCCTATAAAATCGGGACATCTGGTCACCCTAAAACAGGGCCTCAGACTATCCTCATCAGAGAAGGCCCTTGCACAGATTTTCTTTTATACCTCTGCACCCCAAACCCCCTGCCCCAGCCCATAGCCTGCACCCAGCACCCCAAACCCCTTCCCAGAGCCTGCAGCCAGCACCCCAAACTCCTTCCCAGAGCCTTAGGCAGGTGGGGGGGGTGGCGGGACTTGGACCCGTTCCGGACACCATCACAATTGATACAAACCTGCTGCCCTGGCTCTGTTGCCTGGTGAAGTGCCACTGCCTCTGTCTGCTGCAGGGCCTCTGACCGGCCAACACCTCGGCTTGTTCCTGGGCCCCTCGACCCAGCGCTGTGCGTGGCTTCCCCTTTGGCCTTTTCTGCTTCCTTCTTCGAGGCTCGCTGGGAAACCCCGACCTCCAGCTGCTGCAGCTCCCAGGTTTGCTCAGGTTCTTGCTCCTCCGTGCGGTTTGTGCAGCGCTGAACTGGAAACGGCCTCCCCCTCGCGCGTCTTTTTCTGTTCCTCCTTCCTGGTCCCGAAAGCAGCAAACTGAGAATAAGCAACTGGCAACCGGCTCTTGGCTGGTCTCAGCCACCGCACTCAAAGCCTCACCAAAAATCTCCACACCAGTGTATGAAGTGCAAATCTGGCTGAGTACAAGCTGTGTGTTTCACCCCACTGGGCCGGGACCCCCGGGGTGCAGCCTGGGGCTGTGGGACAGCCGGGGCCCCGAACTCTCCAGCCTGGGCTGTCTCTCACAACGCCATGCCAGTGACACGCAGCAAACCCCTCCAGGCGCTGCGATCTCTCAGCCGTCTGCATGTGGAGCCCCACGCCCAGCGAAACTGCATGAATGCTCCCGAGAGCAGCACCAGCCAAACCCCCAGCCTTGCGCCCCAGAGATATACCGTCTGACGCTGCTCCAGACTCTTCGGCCACTGCAAGCTCGTTAATTAGTTCCTCAGAGGAAAGGGGACGCGCACCAGCCTTTGTAACCGGAGCCGAGATTCCCCTGAGCATTTCAACCCCAAACCACTGTTCTAGGTAAAACATCAAACAGGTTTAGTCACGACAGGAAGACAGGTTTTTAAGTGATGGGACGGCTCAGGCGCAGAGCTCAGACTCGGTTACGTAAGAATAAACTCGACGTCTAAATGCCACAGACTAAGCAAGATTTCACTCAAGTCGTCTCCCACCCTAGAGGATGGTCCAGGCAGTTGTCAATACTGTGACGAAGTGGGACTGTTCTTAATGTTTCCTCTGAATAGTGTGGGGGTGCCTCAGTTTCTCCTAGGCAGTTCTTAAGTATCTAGGGGGTGGAGTAAGGGTGTATGATCATTGCAGAGCCCTAGAGGGCAGGTGTGTGCAGGGGTCTGGACACAGAGAATGGCCGACACCCTGTTTCCTGGCCACTGATGGCCTGGGCCCTTCCCCCCTGCAAGGTGAGAGCTGAAGGGTTGGAGAACAAAGGAATCTGGTGACCTCCTGGCCCAGGAAAGGGACAAAGCCCAGAGGAGGAGGGGCTGGGGAGAGTTTCAGTTTGGGGGCTGGCTGGGACATGGAGTGAAGGGCAGACGTGGTTGTCTGGCTCACTGCCCCCCAAAATGGACCCAGCTGAGGGGTCCGGTTCTCTGCACCTACAAGCTCTGTGTTAGACCATGTTCCTGTCGTCTAATAAACCTCTGTTTTACTGAATGGCTGATGGTCCCGTCCGACTGCGGAGTTGGGGGGCAGGACCCTCTGGCTTCCCCAGGACCCCGCCTGAGCGGACTCGCTGTGGGAAGCGCACGGAGGGGCAGAGGAGGCTGAAGGCTCCGGGGTCAGACCCAGGAAGGTGGAAGCTGTGTGAGCTGCGTGTCCTGCAGACAGGCTGCTCACAGAAAGGCGACTGCCCCAGAGTCCTGCCTGGCTTCGTGGGGAGCAGCTCCAGAGCATCACCCAGGGACTCCGTGACAAATACGCCGGCTGGATTCCCTTCCCGCCTGGGACCAGTCTCCCCAGTTCAAAGTCTGTGTCTTCCAGCCCATCTTCCAGGGGTTCAGATGGGGAAGGAGAGAGGCCAAGTGGTGATGTCTCCGTCCCGCCTTTATACTTTCTTCCAGCTGCTAGAAAGATCCTGGTTGGGACTCGGGCTTGAGCAGCCCCTGTTGGGTCCATGACCTCTCCAGGGAGTCCCTGCAAGAGCAGATTCCTGTTGAGGGGCCGTCAACACCCGTCTGGCCAGAGACAGGGCTCTTTTGTCGGTACTGAAAGGCTGGTTGTGGGGGTTCCCAACCTCACAACATATTTCAGTCCCACACACACGGAGAAAAACTTCCTAACTCCCCACCCAGGGACAGCTCACACAACCCAACCGGGTGCTTATGTGCCACAGATCAAGACTTTTCAAACCATCCTTCACAAGACAGGCTTTGTACCACCCCCGGCATCCTCACATCACAGTGATGAAGAGGGGAGTTCCCAGGGTGCTGTTTTGAGACAGAGTGTCAGACCCCCCCACAGCCTGACCTCCCACAAACCCCCCAGCTTGCCCCACAGAACACTGGACCCCATAACCACCCCCAGCATGCCCTTCTGCACCTAATAACCCCCCCAACTTGACTCCCCAGCCTGCCCCCCACTCTGCCACCCTCCATACTGACTCTCCACCCTCTCTACAGGGCAGCATTTCTGGGTCTTCACTGACACCCGGGTGGATCCAGGGTCTCCCCACCCCATCACCGACCTGGGGCTGCCCCCGGGGGTCACGGTGGAGGCAGCCTTCGTCTGGGGGCACAATGGCAAGACCTACTTCTTCGAGAACTCCCACTACTGGCGCTTCGACGACCGAGCCGGAAACGTGGAGCCTGGGTACCCCAGATCGCTGACCCTCTGGAAGGGGGTGCCCCCTGGGCTGGATGACATCATCAGCTGGAACGATGGTAGGTGGCATTCCCAGCGGCGGGCAGTTCCCCAGGCTAACGCCGCTTCTCAGGCGGGCCTCCTTTGCCAACACAGAGCTGTGCTGACTGGTGTCCAGCTCCCTCTTGTGGCACAGAGCGGTATTGCGGGGCCACCCATCTAAATCACCCCTGCAGCGAGTGCCCTGGTTCTCATCTCTCTCTCTCTCCTCTGCAGGAAGCACGTACTTTTTCAAGGGCACCCAGTACTGGCGCTTTCTGGGGGGCAGCGTGGAGGCTGAGAGCGGGTACCCCAGGTCAGCCCCCCAGGACTGGATGTACTGCCAGGGCTCCCCCACTACATCTCCGGCCCCAGGGCCCCGGGGCGGGAGCGGGAAGCCTGGAGGTGGCCAGTGTCTCTGCAGTGGGGCCCTGCCAGGCCCCCTGCCGGCCTTCCTGACTTGGACCCTGGCTCTGGCATGGGCCCTGCAATGACACCTGCCATGCTGCGCCAATGCACTTTACGCCCTACCGTATCCCACCGCTGGCACCAGAGGGCAGCTGTGTGCAGTATCCCACTCTTGCCACCAGAGGGTGCAGCATGCCCAGGTGAACAGGAGAGTGGGTCGGCGGAGCACTGGGGATATCTGTCGTAGTTATTTCTCGCTTGCCCCGTTTGCTGGATGACGGTGCCAGGGGGAGTGGGGGCGCCGCGGGTTAATGGGAAGGTCGGGCCGGGGGGCAGCGATGGGAGGGGATCGAGGGGAGCCCGTGAAATTGTCCAACCCAGAGTTTTCTAATAAAAGCCAATGGAAACAGCTGTCTGGTGTCTGGATCGGGGCAGGGAAGAGGGTTGGATCGGGGGCAAGTGGGGAGGCGGGAGGGAGCAAATGGCATAGCTTGGCCAGCTGGTGGGTGTGTTTGTGTGCGCCCCCTGAGCTGCCCATCCCCCCTCCCTCCCACGCCCTCTCCATGTATGTGCCCCTCACATGCCTGCATCCCCCTGCACCCTTCCATCCATCCCTCCCCCCACACGCCTGCAGCCACACACCCCCCTCCAGCCCTCATCCATCCACCCACCCCCCATACACCCCCCCACACCCCTCCATCCATCTTGCCCCACACACACCCCTGCCCCCAGCCAGCCAGATACCCCATGGATCTGGCTTGGGGTGCTAAAATCTGTCTCTGTCAGGGGGTTCTTTTTGTTTTGTTTATTCTGGGGGGAAAACACTTGCTGGGAGGGGCACTGGGGAAAGGGGGTTCAGGCACAGTAAGTGGCAGGGGGATGGGTACAGGGCTGCAGGGGGATAGGGAGATGGAAGAGAAGGACAGGACAGTAGGAAGAGGCAGAGAACAGGGACTGAGGAAAACATGGGCATGCCAGGATTGGGGGGGCTGAGCCCCCTCCCTGCCCCCCCGTGAGCCAAGCTGTGGGACCGGGTGGAGCTGAAACAGGCCCCAAGAACTCACTGGGGTGAGGAGCTGAGGCTGGGCATGCTCGCTGCATGTCCCAGGCTCCCCAGAAAAAGCTCATTCCACTGCTCTGAGCCTCACTGAATCTCTGGTCAAAGTGGGGCACAGCTGGGGCCCCCCGGGCCTCGATTGCTGGGTTTCTCACTCATTTTCTGCACCCGCAACTCCCGGTTACACTTCCTGTTTATTCCAACTCGCCTGCTGTTTATTAATTAGCTCATTTGCCATGAGGGCGGCCCAGATATTTCTTCTGACAAAACTTCACTGCCCCAGAGCAGCTGTGGTGGGAGGCCCATTTAAAATCGTGTTGCTGCTAAAACCCACCAGCGTTAGAGTGACTGAGCTCCTGGAGTCTGTCTAGTTAACTTAACAAAGAGGGTTAAGGGGTGACTTGCTCTCAATCCATAGCTACATGGGGAATATTTAACAGGCTGGGAATTATTTGGGGGCCATTCTCTGGCCTGTGTCATCCAGGAGGTGTCAGACCAGATGAGCACAATGGTCCTTGGAATCTATGAATCATTAAGACTCAATAATGATGACACTTAACTATATATCAGTAGGTTTCAGAGTCAACACCACATCGAGCAACCCTCCCCCCATCCCTGAGCGATTGTTTCAAGCAAATTGGAAGGGGTGCATAGAAGAGAACCAAAAAAAGATTTGCTGGCTGGAGAAAATGCTTTCGGTGACAGACTTAAATCTGCTGAACTTCCCAAAAAGAAAATTGAGAAGTGACTTGATCGTGTGTATAAACACCTTCCCAGGGAGAAAATCCCAGGTACTGAAGAGCTTTTTCATGAGCGGAGAAAGGCAGAACATGAACCAACGGCTGGAAATGAAAGCCTGACACATTCAAATTAGAAAGGAGTACCCCTCGCAGAATTCAGTTTTTATGTTTCCGTCATTTCGATGGAGAACAGCAATGGTGATTTTTAAAGCTTTTTTTTCTTATCATTGATTTAAATTTTCACACTTGTGCACAATGCTGGGGGTGCAAGCAAGGGGAGACAAACAATATTATTTAACGCCTGCAGCCACTGAAATTCAAAGTTAACACACCCGTTGTCAACGTCCCACATCAAAACCTTCCGAGTCACTATCCATCAAACAAACGCTCAGGCATTCTCAAGCAGCGTTTTTCTTCCCTTGCCTACCTGCGGTGGCAGATTAGCCCTGGGCAAAATGGCTGCCGTTCTGGAAGATGCTTTAGCCAAACAAGTTATTGTTCCTGTGGCAATAACTTAAACCCCCCACAGCTGGGAGGTGTAACGTGAGGAGAAGCAGGCATGGTGAAGACATAACAAACCCAGTGAATTACCCGTCTTCCCTTTGTCTATGCTTTAGCTAAACAATGCTTTAGTAGGGCACAATGCACCAGTAACGGGGTGACATTTTTGGTCCTGGGTTATACAGGTCAGACTAGATGATCAGATGTCCCCTTCTGGCCTTAAAAATCTCTGTCTCCGGCAGACTTCCCTGCCTCAGTTAGACTCGGGGCAGTTCACACCACTCCCTGCGATCGGCTCAGGCTCTCTGCAGACTCAGGCAGTGTCAGTTACACCCCAGGCACTGGTCACACTTGGGGCAGTTCACACCTGGCCAAGCAATCAGTTCAGGCTCTCTGCAGATTCAGGTGCCAGTCACACTTAGGCCAGCGGCGCCTCTGACCCCATTTTCTCTGCAGATGTGAGAGCTGGAGACCTCGTTGTCTCGAGTGAAGGCTGTGGGTCTGGATGCTTAGAGTGTGTGTCTGAATGCACTAAATGCCTGATGCGCAGGGGTAATGGTGTAAAGACTGGGTTGGAGGGCGGAAAGTCTCATGGGCACAACGGGACAGGAGAAGCTGTGTTAGACAGGCCCAGGGTCTGATCTGTGAGTCTTACTCCTGGGGGAAAACAACAAAGTGTATGTTGACCATGGAAAGGTATAGGGAATACATCCGGGCTAGGGAGAGAACCCAGGTGTCCTGACTGTCAGCCCTCCCCGGACTGCATCCTCTATCCTCTTCCAGAGCCGGGGATAGAACCCAGGAGTCCTGAGTTCTCAGGCCAGTGCTTGACTGGTTGATCAGAAGGACAGGCATAATGGGTGCTGCTTTCTTTTACCTTTGGCGCTCTGAGATTGATGGTGGAGTTAGCTGTGTGAAATGTATGTTTCGCAAACCAGCGGGAAAACAGTTAAGACTCCGACTTACCTTCAAACGGAGCTTTTTTGTCAGAGTGGACTTTATTTCTGGGTGAGTCATTCTGATTTTCTCCTTTATCATGAACTCATTCTGAGCAATCGTGTTAGTTACCTAGAAGAGGATCGAGTCATTTGAAAATACAAATCTATCAGGGGAAAGTTGTTCCTGTGGCAATAACTTAAACCCCCCACAGCTGGGAGGTGTAACGTGAAGAGAAGCAGGCATGGTGAAGACATAACAAACCCAGTGAATTACCCGTCTTCCCTTTGTCTATGGTGTGTAACTGCTGGAAAATGGAATTGCCGTTCCGCGAATTGGGACCAAAAAACCCCAAACCAACCAACCAAACATTATTTTTGCAGACCGAAGAGTTCTGAAAAGTCAAGACATGGAAACACCAAAATGCAAGAACTGGCAACTTCGAATTGGAACAAAACTTTTCCCCTCTCTAACCCAAGTAGCTAGCTAAAATTCAGGGATCGGTAGGTTATTTGGGAAGAGAAATGGAGATTGGAGTCTGGTACCTTTGAGGCAATTTTGTTTATTTACGCAGAACATACAGAATCCAGGGAAGCACACGGAAGCAATCAACCGAGAGACACTTTTCTTGCTCAGAGTTCCAAACCTCTTTCAGCCAGCACAGTGCCCAAAAGCTCTCTCTCTAGGCTTGGTCTCTCCCCTTGTACCTGCACCAGCACCTCTTAGCTAAAACAATATCCAGAGAAACCTTCTGCCCAGATGGTCCAGATTCCTGCATGGACTCACAAAGCGCTTTGTTCTGGGCAGTGACGTGTGCTTATCTATCACTCACAGCTAGCTCAGGGCAGTGGTTAAACCTACCACAACCTTTGGCTCTGGAATGCTGATTTGAAATAATGCAGCATTGGCTCCAGGATAATAGAGACACAAGGTGGGGGAAGTGACATCTTTTATTAAGATATTATTGTCTAATTCGAAATAATGTCAGTTCATTGTTTCCTTGCGCCCCACTTCTCCTCTGCCCAGTCTGTCTGTGTCCTCCTGGCCTCTTGTACTCAGTTTGTCAGCTCCTTGGGGCATCTTTCATTCTGTGTCTGCACAGCACCTGACACAGTGGGGTCTGGGCCAGGATTGAGTGCCTAGGCACGACCGTAATACACCTCACGTACAGTGCCTGGCACAACGGGGTTCTGGGCCATGACTAAGCTCCTAGGTGCTAAGACCTCGCCCACCTTGTCTCTTTAAAACAAGGGAGCTTTGTATCTGTTTTCTGGTGCGGGTGAGGTCACGGCTTTTATTGGACCAACTTCTGCTGGGGAGACAGACAAGCTTTGGAGCCCTGCTGCAGGGCTGAAGGGAGAAATCGGCACCTCTGAGCTAAATCCCAGTTGGGACTGACAGGAAAGTTTATGGGGCCACGCCTTGTAGGTGGTCACATGAGAGGGGGTTTGATTGTTCTGCAGAAGGGGTTTGAAGTGTGACATTAAGGGCTAGCAGACAGGTGTGGGTTACAGATTGTTGCCAGGAGCCAGTGTCCCTGTTAAGCCCACGGGTTGTACTGTCTAGCAGTGTTATGACGTAGTCCCAGGCTGGCCTTTGGAAGGGCTGGGCGGGTTTCCTTGGAGGGGGCGGACTGACCGTTGTCATCTGAAAGCTTGTCCCTTGGTCCAATAGACGATATGACCTCCCCCCACCTTGTTGCGTTAATATCCAGGAACTCACATGGCAACAACCTGGCAAACAACTGGGGACGGCATCTTTTTGGGGGGAAGTTCATGATTTTTAATCCAGGCTCAGGAGTTTGGAGGCCTGATCCCTGACCTCTGAACACACTGTGATGTTACACCCCATATTCTTCATGGAAATATGGTTATGATATGAATATGGTATGACTAAGATGTACTTTATGCAAGATGGTTCATGTGAGGTCTCATTGGAAAGGTTCTGATTTACTGAATGTGTTTATCCCATTTGTATGCACGTATCATTGCTGTATTTGAAGCTGGGAATATTGACCATGTCTCTGTATTTCAAATGTGCTGTGTTTGATGAGGCCAAACAATGTTAGTGGCTGATTGAAGAAATGCACACAAGCATAAGGATCACCCAAGGAACTGTGTGCAACAGAGACCTCTCAGAGATAGCTCTACACAATGGAAACTGTTTGACCCAGGTCACAGCAAAAAAGCTTTCCAGCAAGAGTGGGGAAGATATAAAAGAGGGACAATGACAACATGAGGGGTCCTCACTCTCCCTACAACACACCTGAAATCACCTGAGGAACAAAGACTGAACTGTGAGAAGTGATGGTCCCAAGCTAAGATCTTTAGCCTGTGTATGAAAACCTGGGAAAGCCAAGGCAACTTGTGCCTTAAGAATCGGCCAGCCTGTTTATCACTCAGGGTGAGAATTTGCTAATTGATATCCTACCGATCTAGTGCGTTAAGCTCAGTCTGCGGCTTTTGTTTATTTACTAAGGTAATCTGCTTTGTTCGGTTTGCTATCCCTTTAACCACTTAAAATTCACTTTTTGTCGTTAATAAACTTATTTCTTCTTTATAATAAAACCCAGTTTATGTAGTTTCTAACGGGGGGGGGGAAGAAGTTGTGCTCATCTCTCTTCACATTGAGGAAGACGGCGGATTTTTATGAGCTTGCACTGTGCAGATTTTTCTGCACAGTACAAGACAGTATTATTTTGGGTTTATCCCCCAAAAGGGGCGTGCACGTGATTGCTGGGGGAGTCCTCTCACACAGAGCGGACTTCACTCAGTGTCTGCAGCAGGGTGTGGCCCTACCTGTGTGTGGGGGCGTGTGCTGCAAGAGGCCGGACATTCAGCAAAACAGGGAGAAGGAACCCAGGCTGGTGGAGCAGGGGAGGCTCAGTGAAACGGCAGTACATCAGGTGGCATCCCGGAAGGGGGGTGCCCCACACACACTTTTCCTCCTCTGTAACATGGAGATAATGATACATCCTTGCTTTGAAAAGTGCTTTGTCATCTACTGCTGAGAGAAGAGCTAGATAAGCGCCAGGGATTAGAATGTATCTTTGTTTTATATTTATACCCACATACATCTTATGTACTATAAAATATATATGTTGTGTGTATAAATAATATATTCATTAGAATTTTATAAAATATAGAAAAGGTGGGTATAAATAACCTATTGTATATTTCTACACACAGTTGTCTGTATAACGCATATGTGTCTATACACAAATACAGATGTAGCTGTATTGTACCTACGGTATATTTGTATGAGTGTGTTATAGAAATGCACACGTATAACAGTTAAACGTCGTGGCACCCGTTTCACTCTGTCGCACCCCGACAACTGTTCCCACTCAACTTAGAATAGCCTGGAATAGGCCATGTTTAAATTGAAGGAAGCATGTTGGGTTTGCACCACTTTGATAGGTCAGTTTAAATTCCCACCTTAGGTTATAGCGGTGCTGCTAAGCCCTCAATGCCCCTTGGAAACAGTCTTCCTGTGGGCCAGCCACATGCTGTAAAAGCACCAGCCACGCTGATGACAGACACCCATTCCTTCATTCGATCACACACAGCCTTGGGCAGCTGGGATTTGAACTCTGCTGCATCTCTAGAAACAAAAAGGCTAGGGAGATCTCCCTTTGCCGGGCACAGTATAAGGTCACTTATCCTCCCACTCAATAGCAACATAACCTCCCCAGATGCCATGCGTTTACCTTGGTGAATAGCTCCATGATGTCCCAGTAGGGGTTTGTAGTGAAGACATCCACCATGGTCTGAATCAACCGAGAGCCTGTGGTTTCATTTCTAATTGAGTAATAACCTGGGGACGAAGGAGGGAGATTCATTAAAACCACAGACCCACGTGGGACTTCTCTGCCTCCCGGTCTGAAGCTGCTGGAGTCAGGGTGAGACCAGATACTTGGATTCACTGAACAAAGATACCTCAGGATGTGCCAGAGGGCTAGGGCTTCGAATAGCAAGACCACACTGTCGGGGGCAAGTTTTGCAGAACAATACTAATAGACCCCATTTTTCCCCCAGAGCTGGGATGGAACCCAGGAGTCCTGGCTCCCAGCCCCCCTGCTCTAACCCACACTCCCTTCCCAGAGCTCGGCATAGAACCCAGGAGTCCTGGCTCCCAGTCCTGCCTGCTTTAACCCACCAACCCCCACCGCAAGTAGTGGATAAAACCCAGGAGTCCAGGCTCCCAGCCCCCCTGCTCTAACCCACTAGCCCCCACTCTCCTCCCAGAGCTGGGTCAGAACCCAGGAGTCCTGGTCTCCCCTTATAACAAAAGTGTAACGAGCCAAGTACAGCACAAGGCTGTAGCTTCCGCTACTTTGATACGAGCAGGGTGGAAACAGATTCACGTTGGTACCGTTTGGGGATGAAAAGACGAAGAGGCAGTCAGCATGTGTAGGAATCCGCCACCGAGGGACCTGGTTGTCTGAGTCAGCTACAAGATTATCACATTGAAGCACACCTGGGTCTCCTCTTCCTAAAACATAAAATAGCTTCCTTTCAGAAACAGAAATTAAAATGCAGCAGAGTCACACACACTTAGCTAGTGGTTGCTAGATCCAGCACACATAACGTCTCAAAACAAGCACTAGAAGGACATCATTTAAAACCAATGCAAGGAAACATGGTTTCCATACAAAGCATAATTAGCCTGTGGAACTCCCTGCCACAAGATGCCCCTGAGGCCCAAATGTAATGTTTTATTGTAACTCCTCTCCTTCCTCTGATTTGTCTGTTCCTGACCCTCCCACGATGAAATGGGGTATTAGAAAGTATGGGAAAAAAATCATTTTTGATGAAAATGCTCTCCTTTTCATTGTAAAAAACAGAATTTTTGGTTTTCAGCAAGTTACAAGTTGCAGTTTAAAGCCACCATTTGGCCGTTTTAAGACGAGGGGGGATTTTTATGGTTTCCTGCGTCTGGTTTCACTTCGGAGTGGATTCCGCTCCCTGCCTAACTGCCCGTTTTGCTGTGCTCGTGGGGGGTGGGGATTCCAGAGAACAGGGCCCATTTAAGACAAAAATTCAGCAACAAATCCAAAGCGGGGATGCGGCGCTGTCAGCTGGCTAGCTGGTTAAGGCCTTAAAGCAGGGGAGGGCAAACTATGGCCCGCGGGACCGTCCTGCCCAGCCCCCGAGCTCCTGGCCCGGGAGGCTAGCCCCCGGCCCCGCTGTCCCCCCTCTCCCGCAGCCCCAGCTCTCTCAACCGCCGGCACAAGGCTCGGGGGCGGTGGGGGGTGAGCTCCTGGGGCAGCGGCCTGACCCAGTCTCTGGGCTGCACCATGGCGGCGTGGCCTGGCTCGAGCAGGGTGGCACGGCTGTAACATCGCCAGCCACCGGTGCTCCCGGCAGCGCGGTAAGGGGGCAGGGAGGGTTGGATAGAGGGCAGGGGAGTTCGGGGTGGTGGTCAGGGGTGTGAATAGGGGTTGGGGAAGGAACAGGGGGTTGAATGGGGGCAGGGGTCCCCCAAGGGCAGTCAGGAAGGAGGGGGGGGTTGGATGGGGCAGCAGGGAGCAGTCAGGGGCAGGGTTTCCAGGGGCAGTCAGGGAGAAGGGGTGGTTGGACGGGGCAGGGGTCCCGGGGGGGCCGTCAGGAATGAGAGCAGGGGTTGGATGGGGCAGCGGGGGTCTGGGGGCAGTCAGGGGACAGGGAGCGGGGGGGTGTGCATGGGACAGGGGTCCCTGAGGCGCCGTCAGGGAACGGGGGGGGGTTGGATGGGGCAGGAGTCCTGGGGGTGGGGGCAGATAGGAGGTGGGGCCCAGGCCACCACCCCCTCCCCTAACCAGCCCTCCATATAATTTACAAAACCTGATGCGGCCCTCAGGCCAAAAAGTTTGCCCGCCCTGCCTTAAAGTGTTCCATTCACTCGTCTGCTAAACGTTGAGGTTATCGTCCTTATTTGTCTGTGACGGGGTGAATGCCTTTTGCATTGTACATATATCCTGTACTAGTGTAAGTAAATTAACCTGTTGTTGCAATGTCCTTTTTCACGTCCGTATCCTGTGCTTAATTAGCCTTAAATCAAAGAGACGACTAAGGGGGGATATGATAGAGGTCTATTAAATCACGACTGGTGGGGAGAAAGTAAATAAGGAAGTGCTAATTACTCCTTCTCGTAACATAAGAACTAGGGGGTCACCCAATGAAATGACTAGACAGCAGCTTTAAAACAAACAAAAGAAAATATTTCTTCACACAATCATAGAACAACAGGGTTGGAAGGGACCTCAGGAGGTCATCTAGTCCAACCCCCTGCTCAAAGCAGGACCAATCCCCAACTAAATCATCCCAGCCAGGGCTTTGTCAAGCCTGACCTTAAAAACCTCCACAGTTAACCTGGGGAACTCCTTTCCAGAGGATGTTGTGAAGGTGAAGACCATAACAGGGTTCAAAAACGAATTAGATAAATTCTTGGAGGATAGGTCCGTCAATGGCTATTAGCCAGGATGGGCAGGGATGGTGTCCCTAGCCTCTGTTTGCCAGAAGCTGGGAATAGGAGACAGGGGAAGGATCACTTGATGATTCCCTGTTCTGTTCATTCCCTCTGGGGCACCTGGCACTGGCCACTGTCGGCAGACAGGACACTGGGCTAGATGGACCTTTGGTCTGACCCAGTGTAGCTGTTCTTATGTTCTGATGATGTATTAGCATTTAGATGAAGATTTACTTCATGCACGAATACTAATGCAGGATACCTGAAACGTTTCCACGTCTCCGGCCCTACTGGAACAAACGGCCGGCAATTACATTATGTAGATCACTGGTTCTGGGTCACTTGTGTATGATAGGAAGTAGAACATTAACTTCAAAGCAACGGCGAAAGCCCACAGACGGTCTGCACTGGCGATCCCTCAAAGCCCATGCTGGGATGAAGGCGCCTGTGAGCAAGATCTATAAAATACTGGATCCTGGGAGCGATTCTCGGTCTCTGGACTGCTCGGGTTCTGCCCGGGAGAACCTGGTGCCATTGGACTACAGGCTCTAATTCAGCGAACGTGTGCCCTGCTTTCTCAGTCTGCTCTGAGGCAGGCACTTGCAGCTGTGAGCCGCTCGGGGAATGAAAAGAAACCACTCTTTAAAAAAAGAACAGGAGGACTTGTGGCACCTTAGAGACTAACCAATTTATTGGAGCATGAGCTTTCGTGAGCTACAGCTCACTTCATCGGATGCATCCTGTGGAAAATACAGTGGGGACATATATATACACACAGAACATGAGAAAAAACAAAACCAAAAACCCAAACCTGTAAGGAGAGTGATCCGTTAAGACGAGCTATTACCAGCAGGAGAGCGGGGGGGGGGGGGGACTGTTTGTCGGGATAATCAAGGTGAGCCATTTCCAGCAGTTAACAAGAACGACTGAGGAACAGTGGGGGGGGGGGGGGGGGGAGATAAACAAGGGGAAATAGTTTTACTTTGTGTAATGACCCATCCACTCCAAGTCTCTATTCAAGCCTAAGTTAATTGTATCCAATTTGCAAATTTAATTCCAATTCAGCAGTCTCTCCTTGGAGTCTGTTTTCGAAGTTTTTTTTGTTGAAGGATAGTCACTTTGAGGTCAGAAATCGAGTGTCCAGAGAGATTGAAGTGTTCTCCGACTGGTTTATGAATGTTATAATTCTTGACATCTGATTTGTGTCCATTTATTCTTTTATGTAGAGACTGTCCAGTTCCCCCCCCCCCCACTCTCCTGCTGGTAATAGCTCATCTTAACTGATCACTCTGCTTACAGGTTTGGGGTTTTGGTTTTGTTTTTTTCTCATGTTCTGGGTATATATATATATATATGTCCTCACTGTGTTTTCCACTGAATGCATCCGATGAAGTGAGCTGTAGCTCACGAAAGCTCACGCTCCAATAAATTGGTGAGTCTCTAAGGTGCCACAAGTCCTCCTGTTCTTTTTGCGGATACAGACGAACACGGCTGCTCCTCTGAAACCTGTCACTCTCTAAAAGTGTGACCACTGCTACTTTCTGACGGGCTCTTAGCTGTAAGATCTGGGGGGCAGGGCCTGTGTCTCTGTCACTGGGGTGCTGATGCCTTCCGTGCATTTCTGAGTTGCTCAGGAAAGAAATCACCATAAAATCATGATTAATTGTGTGTCTTGGACTCCCCTATGATAATGCTGTGAATTTTCTATTCCGTGTGTTACGGGATATCCTAGGAGCCTAGTCATGGCCCATGACCCCGTTGCGTCAGGAGCTGCACAGACCCAGAACAAACCACGATCCCTGCCCCAAAGAGCCAACCGTATTGGTGTGAGCCAAGGGGGAGACAGGCAGACGCAGGAGCCCAAGGGAGCAATGAGACCAGACTGAGCAGTAACCGGAGGGGTCCCAGCCTGCGTGACTGCTGCCGAGTTTTTTGCCGGCCTTGGAGCACACGTTTGGAAGAGGAGAATGAGGAAGCGACCCCCTGTCAGTTTCTTACCCTACAGTTTTCTACCTTGAGTTAATTGGTCATCAGTTAAGTTGAGGTAAAACTCAAGTTAAGCCAAATGCCACCTTTCCTCTGGCAGGGAAGGGCCTGTGTACAGGGTGAGGAATGAGTGGGGCGGTGTGTTATACACTGAGCTGGGACTGCTGCCTGTACTTCAGATTGTTGAACACAACAGGACAGAGTTAAGGTTGCAGGGGCATCCTTAATTCTGGCCTTCCCTAACTTTTCAGTGCTCGACTTTGCAACTTCAGAGTTCTTCAAATGCAGTTTGTGTGTGTGATACAAAGTAGAAGGCGATGGCTACACTGGGTTTGCTTAAACGGGTGTTAGAATCTGAGTGTGAAGAAAAGGAAATTGTAGCTGTAACCCGCGTTAGCTAACACATGAGGGATGGGAAAAGGGAAAAGATTTTACCCTGGGTGTGACCAGGTTTGCCTCTGCAGCTCCCCTTTGAGGCTCAGAACTGCACAACTCACCCGGTCACGAGGTCTCTGCAGTTTGGTCACTGTCTCTTGCAGGGTCTGATGTAAACCTCCAGCTGTGTCAAATGTCAGTCCAGGCCCTTGTGGGGTGGGGAGTCCAAAAATTGGGGAGGAGGGGGGGAGGAGGAAACAGCTCAGCTCTAAACAGAGTCATGGGCTGACACTCCCTTCTAGGGAGATCCCCACCCAGGCCCTCGCTCAGTCTCCCACGCTCCGCTTGTCCGTTCTGCCAGGAGGCTCACCCGCCCGGCGAGCCACCTCTGTGTAGACGTGGCCAGGGAGGAGGGGTCGGAATGAAAGAATTCAATCTGGTGCTGGGTTCCCCACTCAAAGGAGGGGGAATCTGAGCCGCGGACTCACCCCCCGGCAGGCCTGGATGATGAAGACGTTGGGTTTGCCCCGCAGCGCTCGGCAGGTCGCGTTGGTCATCTCTGCGAACAGCTCGTCCAGGTTCGCATGCCGTCCATCAGCCGCCATGACAACTCCGCTGTCCCCATGCGCCATGACCACCACGAAGCTGCAGCTGACCGGGCCTCGGATTTGGTCTATCCGCTCTCGGAAGCTCACCAGCTCGGTCCGGAATTGCTTCGGGATGAAATTGTGACGGTCGGGAAAGCAAGGACAGGGAGTGCACCAGCCTCATGGCGCTGTGTGAACGGCGAACACGGGCAAAGCCTCATTCCCGTGTCCCCGACTCCTAGCAGCAAATGCTCCCCGTGAGGGGAGCAAACTGGAAAGGCCCCAAACAAAGGCGAACGGCTGGGGCCAGTGATATGGTGGGGCCTGGTGAACTCTGGTGTGGACCATGAAGGGGTGGGGGCACTGGGCTGCTGAGGGTGGCGTTTCCTGCAGGAGTTCCTGAGACACCAGGATGGACTGACTATGGGCAGACTCTGCACGATCTGAAAGGGGACTGGGCGCGAGTGATCCAGCTGGAGAGGAAACTATGGGGAAACTGAGGCAAGGTTGCTGCACTGCCAGCCTGTGCCACCAGGGCGCCCTGGTTACAGCGCTATTTACCTTTGCAGTCGGGTCCTTGACCAGAGTGTTCTGAAATCCAAAAGTCTCATACATCCTGTCCAGCGCCTTGATGTCATTCTCCGCGCCCGGCCGATCTTTCAGCACGCAGAGGGTCAGGGCCAACCGCGCCCCACTCATGTCGTACGCCTGCAGCAGGGAGCGAAGGTTTCATGCCCTGGGGTGCCCCAGTTTCCCAGACGCGTGGCAGGGGACAACCAGCCGGGCATTTAGAGATGTGAAACCGACCGAGCCCAGGACTCGGTCAGGGACTCCCAAACTCCGGCAGGGAACCAGGCGTCTGTGGGGGCAAAAGCTAAATTCCCAGCTACCCAACAGGACGAGCCCAAAGGGAAGTGTCTGCCACGACAAATACCCAAAGGGCTTTCCGGTCAGTGGGTATCCAGGGACCCCTCGTCTGGTGCTGGGATGCGGCCCCTCTGGGGTGGGGCACAAGAACTGGTTATACAGGGACCCCTTGGCCAAGTGGTGAGATGCAGCCACCTCTGGAGTGGGGAAGCTGTTCATGGGACACTGGCAATATCTGGGAATACTAAAGGCTTCTATCAGGGCCCCATAGTACGGGAACGAGGCCAGAACTGACTGCCAGTGGACAGCATCCCCTTCTGAGCCCCCCCCCCTGCTCGGCACAGTGCCCCCACTGAGCCCCCGCCCGGCCCCCTGGAGCCCGGCACCCCCTTCTGAGCCCCCCCCCTGCTCGGCACAGCGCCCCCACTGAGCCCCCGCCCGGCTCCCTGGAGCCCGGCACCCCCTTCTGAGCCCCCCCCCTGCTCGGCACAGCGCCCCCACTGAGCCCCCGCCCGGCTCCCTGGAGCCCGGCACCCCCTTCTGAGCCCCCCCCCCCCCCTGCTCGGCACAGCGCCCCCACTGAGCCCCCGCCCTGCCCCCTGCAGCCCGGCACCCCCTGCTGAGCCCCCCCCCCGCTCGGCACAGCGCCCCCACTGAGCCCCCGCCCTGCCCCCTGCAGCCCGGCACCCCCTTCTGAGCCCCCCCCTGCTCGGCACAGCACCCCCACTGAGCCCCCGCCCTGCCCCCTGCAGCCCGGCACCCCCTGCTGAGCCCCCCCCCCCGCTCGGCACAGCACCCCCACTGAGCCCCCGCCCTGCCCCCTGCAGCCCGGCACCCCCTTCTGAGCCCCCCCCCCCTGCTCGGCACAGCACCCCCACTGAGCCCCCGCCCTGCCCCCTGCAGCCCGGCACCCCCTTCTGAGCCCCCCCCTGCTCGGCACAGCGCCCCCACTGAGCCCCCGCCCGGCTCCCTGGAGCCCGGCACCCCCTTCTGAGCCCCCCCCCTCGCCCGGCACAGCGCCCCCACTGAGCCCCCCCCGGCTCCCTGGAGCCCGGCACCCCCTGCTGAGCCCCCCCCGCTCGGCACAGCGCCCCCACTGAGCCCCCGCCCGGCTCCCTGGAGCCCGGCACCCCCTTCTGAGCCCCCCCTGCTCGGCACAGCGCCCCCACCAGCCCCCGCCCGGCTCCCTGGAGCCCGGCACCCCCTTCTGAGCCCCCCCCCTGCTCGGCACAGCGCCCCCCACTGAGCCCCCGCCCTGCCCCCTGCAGCCCGGCACCCCCTGCTGAGCCCCCCCCCCGCTCGGCACAGCGCCCCCCACTGAGCCCCCGCCCTGCCCCCTGCAGCCCGGCACCCCCTTCTGAGCCCCCCCTGCTCGGCACAGCACCCCCACTGAGCCCCCGCCCTGCCCCTGCAGCCCGGCACCCCCTTCTGAGCCCCCTGCTCGGCACAGCGCCCCCACTGAGCCCCCGCCCGGCTCCCTGGAGCCCGGCACCCCCTTCTGAGCCCCCCCCCACCCTGCTCGGCACAGCGCCCCCACTGAGCCCCCGCCCTGCCCCCTGCAGCCCGGCACCCCCTTCTGAGCCCCCCCCTGCTCGGCACAGCACCCCCACTGAGCCCCCGCCCTGCCCCCTGCAGCCCGGCACCCCCTTCTGAGCCCCCCCACCCTGCTCGGCACAGCGCCCCCACTGAGCCCCCGCCCTGCCCCCTGCAGCCCGGCACCCCCTGCTGAGCCCCCCCCCCCACTCGGCACAGCGCCCCCACTGAGCCCCCGCCCTGCCCCCTGCAGCCCGGCACCCCCTTCTGAGCCCCCCCCCACCCTGCTCGGCACAGCGCCCCCACTGAGCCCCCGCCCTGCCCCCTGCAGCCCGGCACCCCCTTCTGAGCCCCCCCCCCCTGCTCGGCACAGCACCCCCACTGAGCCCCCGCCCTGCCCCCTGCAGCCCGGCACCCCCTTCTGAGCCCCCCCCCACCCTGCTCGGCACAGCGCCCCCACTGAGCCCCCGCCCTGCCCCCTGCAGCCCGGCACCCCCTGCTGAGCCCCCCTCCCCTCTCGGCACAGCGCCCCCACTGAGCCCCCGCCCTGCCCCCTGCAGCCCGGCACCCCCTTCTGAGCCCCCCCCCCACCCTGCTCGGCACAGCGCCCCCCACTGAGCCCCCGCCCTGCCCCCTGCAGCCCGGCACCCCCTGCTGAGCCCCCCCCCCCCTGCTCGGCACAGCGCCCCCACTGAGCCCCCGCCCTGCCCCCTGCTGAGCCCCAAGCCCAGTACCCAGGGCACGGCGCCCCCTAGCACCGCCCTGGAGCTGTGGGGGGCAGAGTCCTTATGAAGGGAGACGGAGCCCGGCATTTCCGCCGTCTGGCAGCGTCTCCGCAGGGGACAGTGTCTCAGCGAATGCCCCCGACCTGCCCCGACTCCGCTCTCGGCCCGGGCTGCGCTGACCCTGCCTGGGCGAAGGCGGGCCTGTGTCCCCCCACCTGAGGCCCCGGCGGCCGGCCCGGACAGAGATGGTTCCCGTCGAAATGCTAAGCTGGGCACAGCCCACCCTCATGCTCAGCCCCCGCCACCCCCAGCACGGAGCCTGGCCAGCCAGAGCCGCCCCAACCCAGGCCAAGCCGCAGGGCCACCCGTGCCCCAGGGCGCTTTGCGGCAATTCACCGGCGCGGCCCCCCTGAATTCGTGCGGGGACACAGGGGCTGGGCCGGGCACCAGCCGCCCTGGTCCCAGCGTCAGGTGATGGGGGGGCAGCCCCTCCCGTTTGATTCCCTTTCTCCCCCCTTCCAGTGACAGCCTGGAGCGTGCTGCTGACGTCTGCGCAGACCACACCACAGGCCACGCCACGGACTGGGAAGGGGCTGCTCTGTGCGGCCTGATCTCAGCCAGGGTCCGTGCAGCGCCTGGCCCGATGGGGAACTTAATCGGGGTAACCTGGTTTGAGGGGGCTATGCATTAGCTGGGGGGAGCAGGGCTGGGCTGGCAGGGGGCTGCGGGTCGGGAGTGAGGGGCACCGGCAGGGCTGGGGGGGCAGGGGCTGCGGGTCGGGAGTGAGGGGCACCGGCAGGGCTGGGGGGGCAGGGGCTGCGGGTCGGGAGTGAGGGGCACCGGCAGGGCTGGGGGGGCAGGGGCTGCGGGTCGGGAGTGAGGGGCACCGGCAGGGCTGGGGGGGCAGGGGCTGCGGGTCGGGAGTGAGGGGTGTGACGAAGTGGGACTGTTCTTAATGTTTCCTCTGAATAGTGTGGGGGTGCCTCAGTTTCCCCTAGGCAGTTCTTAAGTATCTAGGTGGTGGGGTAAGGGTGTATGATCATTGCAGTGCCCTAGAGGGCAGGTGTGTGCAGGGGTCTGGACACAGAGAATGGCCGACACCCTGTTTCCTGGCCACTGATGGCCTGGGCCCTTCCCCCCCTGCAAGGTGAGAGCTGAAGGGTTGGAGAACAAAGGAATCAGGTGACCTCCTGGCCCGGGAAAGGAACAAAGCCCAGAGGAGGAGGGGCTGGAGGGGTTTTTCAGTTTGGGGCTGGCTGGGACATGGAGTGAAGTGCAGACGTGGTTGTCTGGCTCACTGCCCCCCAGAATGGACCCAGCTGAGGGGTCCCGTTCTCTGCACCTGCAAGCTCTGTTTTAGACCATGTTCCTGTCGTCTAATAAACCTTCTGTTTTACTGGCTGGCTGAGAGTCACGTCTGACTGCGAAGTTGGGGTGCAGGACCCTCTGGCTTCCCCAGGAGCACCGCCTGAGCGGACTCGCTGTGGGAAGCGCACGGAGAGGCAGAGGATGCTGAATGCTCCGAGATCAGATCCAGGAAGGTGGAAGCTGTGTGAGCTGTGTGTCCTGAAGACAGGCTGCTCACAGAAAGGCGACTACCCCAGAGTCCTGACTGACTTCATGGGGAGCAGTTCCAGAGCATCGCCCAGGAACTCCGTGACAACTGGTGGCAGCGGTGGGATCTACTGCACCCCGTGGATGGCGCTTCCTGCAGTAAGTGACTGGGGAGCAGTAACACGAAGGGGGATTGCCGAGGACCAGGCCTGCTGAAGGCTCAGAGAGGAGCGGTTTCGGGGGGCGGTTAACCCCTGGGAGTGTGTGACCAGCGAGAAGTACTGTGCAGTAATGGGGTCCCCCTGGGGACTGCAGTGAGCAGTCTCAGGGGCGGAGGAGTCTGCAGCTCGACCCTGGCAAAGAGGTGGTGACCTTGAGAAGGGCTGGCACACTAGGGGTTCTCCCTGGAAACCGTGGGGAGCTGAGAACACACGGGCCTGTGAGTCCACAACAACTTGGGAGGAGCGGAGTGATGGCCTGTCACCGTCTCCTTAAGAAGGACATTGTAACCCTGTGCAGAAAGAGAGGGTTGAGCATTGGAAAGTTCACCAAAGCAGAGTTAATCGTGCAGCTGGAGGAGGATGACCGCTCTAAGGAACAGATTCCTGACCCCAACTGGGGCTATAGCAGGATCTGGGAGCAGCTGGAGCGGGAGCCAGGCATCGCCAAGACTCCTGTCCCCGACCAGACGAGGGTCTTCATGATCGGGTTCCCCATCGGGGGGATCAAGACGGACGGGATTGCAGCTGAGTCTGAGAGAGCAAGAGGACCGTGGGAGACAGCGAGAGCCCGAGAAAGAGCTGCAGAAGCAGCAGCAGCATGAACTGGCGGTGGTGGGGCGGAGAGGCCTAGGGGACCTCCCCGGGGTGAGTGGGGATAGATCCCGGGGGGCCAGTTCCGCAGGGAACCTCGATACTAAATTGCTGCCCCTGGTTAAGGAGGGGGGGGTGTGGATGCCCACCTCACTGCCTTTGAGCAGGCTGGCGATTTGAACCAAGGGGACCCTGCGGAAAAGCCCCGGTGTCTAGCTCCCTTGCTGGGTCCCAAGGCCATAGACTCCGTCAGCCAGGTGGTTGGGGATGTGGACAGGCTCCCACTCCTGACCCCAACCTATATGTCTGTGTGGAGTTTCTTGGGGCCAGGCCCCCCGGACCTCCAGTGGGAGTAGAAGGTGATGGTCAATGGGGAGACATTCTTGGGGTGGCCAAAGGGCATGGGCTGCATAAACCTTCCCACATGCGGCCTGCGAGTGCTATCGACCACCCCTGACCTAAGGGAGGGCGTGAAACTGGAAGGGCCTGGTGTAACTCCTACCAAGGAATGGGAGAGATGCTGGGGCATCCATGGGAACGTTGGTGGCTTCGAACTTCCCCAGGTCACCGGCTAAAGTGACCCCGCTCAGTTCGATCTCGAAGGGGGGAGAGATGTGACGAAGTGGGACTGTTCTTAATGTTTCCTCTGAATAGTGTGGGGGTGCCTCAGTTTCCCCTAGGCAGTTCTTAAGTATCTAGGTGGTGGGGTAAGGGTGTATGATCATTGCAGAGCCTTAGAGGGCAGGTGTGTGCAGGGGTCTGGACACAGAGAATGGCCGACACCCTGTTTCCTGGCAACTGATGGCCTGGGCCCTTCCCCCCCTGCAAGGTGAGAGCTGAAGGGTTGGAGAACAAAGGAATCCGGTGACCTCCTGGCCCGGGAAAGGAACAAAGCCCAGAGGAGGAGGGGCTGGAGGGGTTTTTCAGTTTGGGGCTGGCTGGGACATGGAGTGAAGTGCAGACGTGGTTGTCTGGCTCACTGCCCCCCAGAATGGACCCAGCTGAGGGGTCCCGTTCTCTGCACCTGCAAGCTCTGTTTTAGACCATGTTCCTGTCGTCTAATAAACCTTCTGTTTTACTGGCTGGCTGAGAGTCACGTCTGACTGCGAAGTTGGGGTGCAGGACCCTCTGGCTTCCCCAGGAGCACCGCCTGAGCGGACTCGCTGTGGGAAGCGCACGGAGAGGCAGAGGATGCTGAATGCTCCGAGATCAGACCCAGGAAGGTGGAAGCTGTGTGAGCTGTGTGTCCTGAAGACAGGCTGCTCACAGAAAGGCGACTACCCCAGAGTCCTGACTGGCTTCATGGGGAGCAGTTCCAGAGCATCGCCCAGGAACTCCGTGACAAGGGGCACCGGCAGGGCTGGGGGGGCAGGGGCTGCGGGTCGGGAGTGAGGGGCACCGGCAGGGCTGGGGGGGGCAGGGGCTGCGGGTCGGGAGTGAGGGGGCACCGGCAGGGCTGGGGGGCAGGGGCTGCGGGTCGGGAGTGAGGGGCACCGGCAGGGCTGGGGGGGGCAGGGGCTGCGGGTCGGGAGTGAGGGGCACCGGCAGGGCTGGGGGGGCAGGGGCTGCGGGTCGGGAGTGAGGGGCACCGGCAGGGCTGGGCTGGCAGGGGGCTGCGGGTCGGGAGTGAGGGGCACCGGCAGGGCTGGGGGGGCAGGGGCTGTGGGTCGGGAGTGAGGGGCACCGGCAGGGCTGGGGGGGCAGGGGCTGCGGGTCGGGAGTGAGGGGCACTGGCAGGGCTGGGGGGGCAGGGGCTGTGGGTCGGGAGTGAGGGGGCACCGGCAGGGCTGGGGGGGGCAGGGGCTGCGGGTCGGGAGTGAGGGGCACTGGCAGGGCTGGGGGGGCAGGGGCTGTGGGTCGGGAGTGAGGGGCACCGGCAGGGCTGGGGGGGCAGGGGCTGTGGGTCGGGAGTGAGGGGCACCGGCAGGGCTGGGGGGGGCAGGGGCTGCGGGTCGGGAGTGAGGGGCACCGGCAGGGCTGGGCTGGCAGGGGGCTGCGGGTCGGGAGTGAGGGGCACTGGCAGGGCTGGGGGGCAGGGGCTGTGGGTCGGGAGTGAGGGGCACCGGCAGGGCTGGGGGGGCAGGGGCTGTGGGTCGGGAGTGAGGGGCACCGGCAGGGGCTGGGGGGCAGGGGCTGTGGGTCGGGAGTGAGGGGGCACCGGCAGGGCTGGGGGGGCAGGGGCTGCGGGTCGGGAGTGAGGGGGCACCGGCAGGGCTGGGGGGGCAGGGGCTGCGGGTCGGGAGTGAGGGGCACCGGCAGGGCTGGGGGGGCAGGGCTGGGGGGGCAGGGGCTGCGGGTCGGGAGTGAGGGGCACCGGCAGGGCTGGGGGGGCAGGGGCTGTGGGTCGGGAGTGAGGGGCACCGGCAGGGCTGGGGGGGCAAGGGCTGCGGGTCGGGAGTGAGGGGCACCGGCAGGGCTGGGGTGGGTACAGAGTGGGAAGGCAGAGAGGCCAGCAAGGCAGATACCCACAGCATACCGTGCTATTACCAAACCCAAACCCACTGCAATGCAGAAGGGTACTAGAGGTGGGGCAGGGCTGTGAAGAGGCTCTCCGGCGCCGACCTGCTGGTAGGGAAACACACAGGGCAGAAGCAGAACCAGTGTATCCGGACTGCCGGGACACGGCCTAGGTCTGTCTCCCGTTCTCCAGCTTTCCCCAGCCCTTATCACCCCATGGCCTGAAAGGACTTCCTGGGTACCTCCAGCACAGCCCGAGGGTCA